TTTTTTTTTTTTTAATTTAGAGCAATCTCTTTTCTTGTGTTGAAATGTGTAATACTTGATTCTGCATGTTAAACTTCACTTAGTGTGACCAGAATTGCAGGTGGAAAGACAGGCAATTAGATTGAAGCTAAGTGGGTTTGAAGGCCACTGGAAATTAGGTGCAAAGTTGATTAATCTTTCTTTTTTAATACTTATTATGCACATTTACCGTTACAGAAATATTTTCAGGTATAGGTAGGGTTTGTAGGTGTTTTCACTGTTAAATAATTTCTTCTCTCTGAAAGAATTATCTTTAGTGCCAGAGGCTAGAAGTGGATTATGTTCTTTAGTAATTGATAGAATTGTTAGGATTAGTGCAAATGTTTAAAATTTCTTTATTATATTTTATTTCTAGACTGAATTTTCAAAGCAGATTAGATCATGGAGTTAAATTTACTTTTTGTCTATGGCAGTATTGCATTGAATGGTTAGACTGGGCTGTCCTTGGAGAGGGATGTCCCAGGGGAATTCCTGGATGCTTCAGGAGGTGGTGTGACTGTTCCCACCTGGTACTAAAGGAATGGTGCTGGTTAGATGTGCCCTAAGTCAGATGGAAACCTAAGATCCTGTCTGCCAGATGGATATCCCTCTGCCTTCTACTCTACAGCACTTGCCAGGCATTAGTTTGGTCATGCCACTGAGGATCTAAACTCTCCACGTACACATGGCTTTAGCATTTACTTTCTAACCTAAATGTTCTGGTTTGTTGCTTGGGTACTGAGAAATTACTGTGTTCCTCTTGATGAGAGAGGAACTGAGGATAGTAATTTTCTACATGTGACCTTTAAGACATTTTGAAATCTTTGTAGATGAAAGATGTTATATAAATGTAAGGAACATAGGACTGTAATAAGTACTCTTTCTTGAACAAATCTCCTGCTGAAGTTCATTAGAAGCACAAGTAAGGAGTACTGAATAGAACCCTAATGTATTGTATTATAGAGGGAGCTAGTAGTGACTGCTATATTTAGATTGCCTAATAGTTTCCATTATAAAGAAACTGCATGACCTTTTTGAGAAGATTTGTTGTTTGCAAAAGCCATTGTAGTTTGGCAAGAGGAAAAGTCTTTAGGCTAAATAAGTGGTTTGATTTCCTTGCCCCATGAAATTAAGTTTTGCTCAGACTAAATCACTTGAAAATCTTCATTCCCTCTCTGTCACTCATGCTGTACAGAAAAGTCTGTGCTAGAGCCCTAAAAAAGCCCAGACTGGAACTGTGTAAAAGCAACAGAGGCAATGATGGTATGCTGAGAACACAGAATTATATGGCTCCTGGGGAGGTTATAATGGGGTTGCTGAATTTGGGTTGGCTCTCACAGTTACTGCTTTGTCAAAAGACAGTTGCCTCCACTGGCAAGCTACCATTTCTTCTTCTGTTCTCATGGCACTGTCTGAATCAGGAGTGTACCAATACTGGTTGACCTTCAAGAACTGGGCTGGATCCTTGGACAGACCTTATTGCAGCAAGTATTTGCTCCCAGTTTGTCTGTCTTTCAATAGATGTTTGGATTTTGCTTTCCTTGCCAGCTAACACCATTAGTCACTGTAATTTAGATGTGTTGTAAAGCTGAAGATTAAGAGTTTGTGTTGCTGGGAAGAAATACACAAGAGGATTGCCATTCCCTCTGAAGGAGTGTATGTTTCCTACTCTCTGCTGCCTTCTAGGAGGCTGCATTACTGCCCTATTGTCACCTCTCTGCTTCAACTTCCTCAGAAGTGTTATTAATGCTCTTGTTATTCAGTTAGCAATAGCATCCAGATTGAAAATTACCTGTCACTTTGCTTTCCTTCATGTGTTTTTTATGCATGTGGTCTGATCTCTAGTTGCAGGATCCTATTCTTTTTTCCATGTTGTTACAAACCACTTCTCCTTTCAGTGTGAATGATGAGTGTCCAGGGCAGTGTAGTGAGAGCTACAGGAGGAACTGCAAATACTGGCTTTTTAAACTTTGAAGTGCTTGTAATGATATTCTACTGTGTAAACAAAGCAGAAAAAGGATGCGGGGACATGCGATCAATTTCTCCTTTTCTGACTAGATAACGTTCTCTGATTCTTAAATTACAGAAAGGGGCCACAAGTGTGGCTTTAAGGATAAAGGATGTT